GGCAACCAGCAGCTTATCACAGATATTGAATAGACCTATAATCAAGAAAAACAACAAATATGACTATTGCATTAGTTTCTGCTTAATTAACAATTTATTCACTACTAAATAATAGGAAAAAAGGCTAAATTATTTGTAGTGTCCAACAAGGAGATTGTGTTCAGAACAGTAACGTACCAAATAAAAATGCTAGAGAAGGGTAATAGGAGTAAAAACATGTCTTAAAATACTTCAACTTATTAATAATGAATAATTAACATAACAATTGTTAAAAATCTCATTAATAAAGTCAAGTACTTAATTTCTTGACACAAATTATCATAAACAGTCCTGGATGAGCAGCACCCCTGATGAACTGGGAAAGAATGACCTGTATTAAAAAGAGGTCAGGAAAATCGCCACAACAGATCTACCGCAGATGCCCTACACAACCCTAAGGAATAAAGATGGCCAATCTGATAGACACGATACCACGGTCAAACCTTGATTATCCGGGACTAGGGATTATCATTGGGATTAGGAAAAACAGTCTGGTTAATCGAGGGTGTGGAAAATTGAAAATATAAATATCAATGAAGAACAAAACTGATTACATTAAGAAAGCAACTTTTAACTGTGAAACAACACTTTTGCTTTTTGTTTAGAAAACAACATGATCTCCATCATCACTAATAAATATTCATGACAAAATTGAGACTAGAGAAAAAGTCCGGATAATCGAGAAATCCGGATAATCAAGGTACAGATAAACGCGTTTCGACTGTATTTCAAAATCTGGTTTTCGTACAATTTCCTGGATGCTTATTGGTCTTCCTTTAAAAAAAACCTTGTAATCTTAAGTGCTCAAACAATGTTTTGAGTGGTCACTATTCTTCTAAGTGCTACTGACAGTTAAAGTAGATGCCCTGTATATGTTTTTTCAAAAAAATTCCATTCAATCTCTAAACTTAAGGAAAAAGTAGATAGTTATACCTTGATCAACTGGCCATGCTTGAAGCATGGCCTTGCACATTTGATTCAAACAAAATTTGACGTCTATCCTAACAGGTTGGAAGATCGAGGGCGTCAATATGTATGACTGGTCATCTCGTCCCTGGCCAGGATGACGTTGTCCATTTGATAGGGGGCTTCCACAAAGATCACAAACCTGTGCCTGGGGAAGAAAACTTGTTGGCCATGATATCTGCATCCTGCATGCATTGAGAATGATTTTTGGCACTGGATATGGGATGGTTTTTGTCAAGTTCAGTTTTATAGACGATGTCCTGCTCAATGACAAACCAAAATCAGTGGCATCAGGTGAAGTGTCAATGGCTGTAGATGAGACAGAGCTACAGGAAGATTCCTGGTGCTGTTCTGGTAACTTCAATACACAAAGCAGAACATGAAGGTGCAAGCAAATACTCTTAGTCTTGATTTGTTTGCTACTTCCAGATTTTCTGTTGCAATTCTTATTATAGCATTGCAATTTTCCATTGCCATCCATTTCGACATGACAAAACCCAGTTGGGTATGATGTGGAAGGTTCAGTAAAAATGGCAAAGCAGTGTTCTGAAACTTTCACCATATAACGAAAATCTTCAGGTGGATCCAAATGTTGCAACAACTTTCCCTCTGTTACCTTGTCGCACTTGTAAGCCTCAATATCTTCTACAATTAAAACTTTGGCAGACAAGGGTTCTGAAGACTTTTCTGTGGCAGCTATACGTGCACAGGAGAATGGTACAGCACTTGCCATGTGCACTGCTCTGCTCCCTTTACACTTTTCATGGTGGCAGACAACACTGGTGTTGTCTTTCAACACAAAAACCCTGTTAGAGCGATGGTCTAATTTAACCGAGTAAATCCTCACCAGCTGTGAGTCAACCACAAGGACACTTTCTGGCCACTTTAACTCTCTTTTCTTGTTGGTTGTTCT